TCCATCCATCCATCCATCCATCCATCCATCCATCCAAGTCTGCTGGTAGAGAGCAGCTGCAGAGGACGGGTGATGCTGTGGGTCGGCTTCTGTTCTGCAGCTTTTCACAGCCTGCAGCTTTTGGCCCAGGGAGGGAAAAATGTGGCAAAATTAATGGAATCAATTCCTCTTTTTATTCAGTTTAATTTACTTGATAAAAAGTAGATGCATAAAACCAAAATCGTTTCAAACAGCAACTGTCTGGCTTTAGGAAACACTAAAAGAAATCAAGAAATAAAAAGTGGTTTTCAGTGACACTTTATTAGACCAAGCTGAGGGAAAAAATGATGAAAACCAAAAGAAGGCTTCAACTCATCACTGGTATTTAGTTGCAGCACCTCTGGCCGTCTCTGAGGCACTTAGTGAGGGACAAACGGGACTCTTCATCAGGGCTCTTCATCAGGACTCTTCATCAGGACTCTTCATCAGGACTCAGACTCTGCAGGTCAGATCCCTGTAAAAGGATCTGGACTATTTGCAGGCCGTGACATTGACCTTATGTCCTTTTTTTTTAAGGAATGTTTTCAAAGTTTTTGCTCTATGGAAAGATGCAAATTGATTTCATCATCCCGCAAACATCCTTTTAATTAACGGGATTAGAAAAGTGTCCAGAATCTCAGCATAAACTTGCTCATTTATTGTAGATATGATGACAGTCCAGTCCTCCTCAGTCCACCGTTGCTCCTCAGCCGTTCTAACCTGTTTTTTCTGTTTAGTGATGATGCTTTCCTTTAGCTTTCCTGGATGTAAAGCTTATTTCCTTCAGACGCTTTCTTACAGTTCGGTCACAGACCAGTTTCCTCCCATTCCATCCTCATTTGTTTAGTTTTGCATTTTGAGTTTTATTTTTAAACATACTGCTTTAAGTTTTCTGCTTAGCTGTCTTCCTTGGTCTCCCAGAATGTTTGCCTTTAACAACCTTTCCTTGTGGTTAGTGTTTAGACACAGCTGACTGTGAACAACCCACATCTGTTATTATGGTGTTATGATTTACCCTCTTTGCAGAGTTTGATAATCCTCTCCTTTGTTTCAATCTCTGGCGTTGGAGCCATGATTCATGTCCTTCACCTTGGTGCAGCAGCTCTTTAAGACGAGCAGGTCTATGGCTGCGTTCACACTGCAGCCTAAAGGAACCCAAATCTGATTTTTCTGCCTATATGCAACCTGGATCTGATCTTTTCATGACAGTCTGAACAAAACGGATCTGATTTTGTTCCAATGTGACCCAGGCCGCTTAGCTCTGAGGTCCTGGATCTGATGCGTATCTGACCTGTTTAAATGCGACCTGTTTCTGAACGCCAGGTCGCATTCATCCCACCTGAACGCCATTAATGTCCAACAAAGGTCATTATTCTGCGTGTTTCTACGCAGAAGCACAAGAAAAACATCAACCATGGCGGATGATGATGCGGAGAGCAGTATTTATGTTTAACCATCTTGAAAAGATTGTGTTTTTATGGTTGGGAAAGATGTCTAGATGCGCTCCAGGGCTACCATCCATCTTTACTTATGTAAACACGAAGCATGCTGGCTCTATGGCGCAGGTGTGACACTGCAGTTCACATACAAG